ATGAGAGCTACCATGGCCAGCCTGCTTTAAAAAAACTTGCAACTGGGTGTGGTGGCCCATGCCTGTAATCCCAACACTTTGGGAAACCGAGGCAGGTGGATCACTTGAGTTCAGGAGTTTGAGACCAACCTGGCCAACATGGCGAAACCCCTTCTCTACTGAAAATACAAAAATCAGCTGGACATGGTGGCATGTGCCTGTAATCCCAGCTACTTGGAAGGCTGAGGCAGGTGAATTGCTTGAACCCAGGAGGTAGAGGTTGCAGTGAGCTGAGATCGTGTCACTGCACTCCAGCCTGGACGACACAGAGAGACTCTGTCTCAAAACTAGAACAATCACAAGTGAAAAAAAAAAAAAAATTGCAATATGCTACACAGGTATAAGTGGTGATTATTACCTTAAGCGACTCCCATCTCTGGCCCTCAGTCTCCTCATTCTCGGAATGGACAAAATGAGCTTCTGGCCTTAAAGCCCTGTGATGGATGTAAATATGAATCTCAGGCAGTACCCACTTTCATTGAAGATGTAATTACACACTCAATAAATACTTTTTGATTTCATGATGATGAAGAAGAAGAGTGATTTCACATCATTGCTTTCTCCTTTCCTCTCATATCCCAAGCATTTCCCAGTCTTTTCATCATTTTCCCCTTTTGACTGAGGCTAGGGGTGATGGGATAAGTACGTCTTGTGGCCACTCGGCCCAGGTAGGACAGGGAGTTAGACCCAGTAAGTTCTAACAAGCAAGACGTACTCACAAATGTCCAGAGTCCTCACTCTGCCTTCAGAGTGGTATGGGACTGAGTCATATCACCAAATGCCACCCTTGGAGCTCTGCCATTCTGCTGAACTCCCCAAATCACTCATCAACCCAAGTGCCCTGGGTTCCCACACTGTGCCCCAAGAAAGCACCTATGGGGTTGACAGAGGTGAGGAGGAAGCCCAGAATTAGTCACAAGAAGCAAATCAGAATCACACACAGCGAGTGCGCCCAGCCTTAGCCCAGATGCTGACCTTTTGAAAACCCAGAGCGGCTCCACCCGTCTCCTCTCCATGGCTACAAGGATGGAGAGGGGGTAGCTTGGCCTGGAACAAGTTAATCTTGAGGGTATATTGTCTAAAACTCCTGCAGTATGCTTGTCTAAAACACCACAGCTTACAAAGTACTTTCAAGATTATTTCCTTTGATCTGTGAGGCAGCCTGAGGAGATATTATCATCTTCATCCTTTAGATGAAGAAAGTGAGGCTCAAGAAGGTTAAGTGAGGTAGCCAAGGACAGGCAGCTTGTTACTGAGCTCCAGTGCTTTGGTAGCTTGCTGCTATTTGTTAACTGCCCTTTAAAAGAAGTTTATAGGGGGCCAGGCATGGTGGCTCACGCCTGTAATCCCAGCACTTTGGGAGGCTGAGGCGGGTGGATCACCTGAGGTCAGGAGTTCAAGACCAGCCTGGCCAACATGGGGAAACCCCGTTTCTCCTAAAAATATAAAAAAATTGGTGGGCACCTGTAATCCAGGCTACTTGGGAGGCTGGAGCAGAAGAATTGTTTGAACCCAGGAGTCGGAGGCTGCAGTGAGCCGAGATCCCATCATTGTACTTCAGCCTGGGTGACAGAGTGAGACTCTGTCTCAAAAAAAAGGAAGGAAGGAAGGAAGGAAGGAAGGAAGGAAGGAAGGAAGGAAG